TTTTCTTGCGTTATGCGGGCCTCTCACTGTTGTGGCCTCTCCCATTTGCGGAGCACAGGCTCCGGACGCGCAGGCTCAGCGGCCATGGCTCACGGGCCCAGCCGCTCCGCGGCACGGGGGATCCTCCCGAAATGGGGCACGACCCCGCGTCTCCTGCATCGGCAGGCGGACCCTCAAGCACTGCGCCACCAGGGAAGCCCCCCCCTCTACTTTTTAATATGATTTTTAAATGTAATTTTGTGTTAACTGTAGCAGTTGAAAAACATCTAAGACGTCTCGGGTTTGACTTTCAAAACTAAGCAAAGTCCACCTCAAGGAAAATTTGGGTTTACCCTAAGACCATCAAATATGAGGACAATTATATGAAGTCAGGGTTAAAATCTGGAATATTAAAATGGGAAAGCTCAAATACTACTGTTTTCCTATCATCAATAAAATTTTTTGCTGTAATTCTGTCAGTACTCTTCATGGGTGGTACCAACATTCCAGCTTCTATCCCTCTGGCTGTTCAAGGCAGGAAAAGGAAGTGTTAAATGTACATATACTTTTATACTGGATCCTTTGCAATGCCTACCGACTCACAACTCTTCAGGCAAGACATTAGGTTGTACCTTTTCTGCCTGCAATGAGAGAAGAGTTCTTGTCGCAGCAACTGTTCTTTGTTTAGAAATAATGTGTTCATTTTGCCATCTTGGCAATTATGCCATATGTTGTTGAGCTTTGGTATGTATTGATATATACAAATTACCACAAACTTAGTGCTTTAAAAACAGCACATTTGTTATCTCATAGTTCTGGAAGTCACAAATATGAACTCGGTTTCACTGGGCTAAATCAAGGTGTTAGCAGACCTACTTTTTTTTTTTTTTTTTTTTTTTTGGAGGCTCTCAGGGAGAATCCATTCCCTTGCCTTTTTCAGTTTCTAGAAACCACCTGCATTCCATGGCTTGTGGTCCTTTCCTTTGTGTTCAAAGTCAACCAGTATAGCATTTTCCAGTCTTTCTCTGACTCTGATCCTCCTATCATATGCTATATAACCCAGGATAATCTCCCCATTTCAAGATCCCTAACTTAATTGTATCTGCAAAGTCCTTTTTGCCATATAACATAACATATTCATGGCAAATATGGGATAGGAGCACTGACATATTTAGGAAGCCATTTTTTCTGCCAAACACAATGTAATACAAACAAAAAGCATGGGCACTGTCATCATAAATTGCTTTCTGAAGTTATCTCTTCCTCGAAGTACTGCTCTTTAATTGATGTATTCTACAACATGATTTTAGCCATTCAAATTCATGTCTCACGCGTTGATCTACTTCAGATAGCAAAAATATTTTAATGATAATAAAGGCCATATATGACAAACCCACAGCCAACATCGTCCTCAATGGTGAAAAACTGAAACCATTTCCACTAAGATCAGGAACAAGACAAGGTTGTCCACTCTCACCACTATTATATAACATTGTTTTGGAAGTTTTAGCCACAGCAATCAGAGAAGAAAAAGAAAGAAAAGAAATCCAAATCAGAAAAGAAGTAGTAAAGCTGTCACTGTTTGCAGATGACATGATACTATACATAGAGAATCCTAAAGATGCTACCAGAAAACTACTAGAGCTAATCAATGAATTTGGTAAAGTAGCAGGATACAAAATTAATGCACAAAAATCCCTTGCATTCCTATACACTAATGATGAAATATCTGAAAGAGAAGTTAAGGAAACACTCCCATTTACCACTGCAACAAAAAGAATAAAATACCTAGGAATAAACCTACCTAAGGAGACAAAAGACCTGTTTGCAAAAAACTATGAAACTGATGAAAGAAATTAAAGGTGATACAAACTGATGGAGAGATATACCATGTTCTTGGATTGGAAAATCAACATTGTGAAAATGACTCTACTACCCAAAGCAGTCTGCAGATTCATTGCAATCCCTATCAAACTACCAAAGGCATTTTTCACAGAACTAGAACAAAAAATTTCACAATTTGTATGGAAATACAAAAGACCCCAAATAGCCAAAGCAATCTTGAGAAAGAAAAACGGAGCTGGAGGAATCAGACTCCCTGACTTCAGACTATACTACAAAGCTACAGTAACCAAGACAATATGGTACTGGAACAAAAACAAATATAGATCAATGGAACAGGATAGAAAGCCGAGATAAACCCATGCACCTATGGTCACCTTATTTTTGGTAAAGGAGGCAAGAATATACAATGGAGAAAAGACAGCCTCTTCAATAAGTGGTGCAGGGAAAACTGGACAGCTACATGTAAAAGAATGAAATTAGAACAGTCCCTAACACCATACACAAAAATAAGCTCAAAATGGATTAAAGACCTAAATGTAAGGCCAGACACTATAAAACTCTTAGAGGAAAACATAGGCAGAACACTGTATGACATAAGTCACAGCAAGATCCTTTTTGACCCATCTCCTAAAGAAATGCAAATAAAAACAAAAATAAATGGGACCTAATGAAACTCAAAACTTTTGCACAGCAAAGGAAACCATAAACAAGATGAAAAGACAGCTCTCAGAATGGGAGAAAATGTTTGCAAATGAAGCAACTGACAAAAGATTAATCTCCAAAATGTACAAGCAGCTCATGCAGCTCAGTATCAAAAAACAAGTAACCCAATCCAAAAATGAGCGGAAGACCTAAATAGACATTTCTCCAAAGAAGATATACAGATTGCCAACAAACACATGAAAGAATGCTCAACATCACTAATCATTAGAGAAATGCAAATCAAAACTAAAATGAGGTATCACCTCACACCTGTCAGAATGGCCATCATCAAAAATTCTACAAACAGTAAATGCTGGAGAGGGTGTGGAGAAAAGGGAACTCTCTTACACTGTTGGTGGGAATGTAAATTGATACAGCCACTATGGAGAACAGTATGGTGGTTCCTTAAAAAACTAAAAATAGAATTACCATACCACCCAGCAATCCCACTTCTTGGTATATACCCTGAGAAAACCATAATTCAAAAAGAGTTATGTACCACAGTGTTCATTGCAACTCTGTTTACAGTAACCAGGACATGGAAGCAACCTAAGTTTCCATCAACTGATGAATGGATAAAGAAGATGTGGCACATATATACAATGGAATATTACTCAGTCATAAAAATAAACGAAATTGAGTTATTTGTAGTGAGGTGGATGGACCTTGAGTCTGTCATACAGAGTGAAGAAAGAAAGAGAAAGACAAATGCCGTATGCTAACACATATGTATGGAATCTTAAAAAAAAAAAATGATCATGAAGAACCTAGGTGCAGCATTGGGAATAAAGACACAGACCTACTAGAGAATGGACTTGAGGACACAGGGAGAGGTAAGGGTAAACTGGGACAAAGTGAGAGAGTGGCATGAACACATATACACTACCAAATGTAAAACTGATAGCTAGTGGGAAGCAGCTGCATAGCACAGGGAGAACAGCTTGGTGCTTTGTAACCACCTAGAGGGGTGGGGTAGGGAGGGTGGGAGGGAGGGAGACACAAGAGGGAAGAGATATGGGGATATATGTATATGTATAGCTGATTCACTTTGTTATAAAGCAGAAACTAACACACCATTGTAAAGCAATTATACTCCAATAAAGATGTTAAAAATGTATACATGTATATATATTTTAACGGAGCCTTCCATTTCTTTTTCTTTGACTACCAGATTTGCACAGAGCACTATTAACAGATGGAAATGAAAGTCATATTTGAATAATATTCTCTGTGCCAAGCATTTATATACATTTTTCTATTTGATCTTCACAGCAAACTTCTGAGCTCTTCATATTTCTCATGAGACTCACAGATGTTAAATAACTTGCCTGAAGTTACATAGTTATAAATATCAGAGCTGTGATTAGAGCCTTGTCTTTCTCTTTATTCTTTTTCTGAATTGTCTATGTCATACATGTTTTCACATTTTATTTTAAAATGTGAAAATATTTTTAAAAAGCACAAAGTAGTAACCCATTTCTCTGCATTTTACGTATTGTACTATTTTGTAAACTGATTATTTTTTAATTATGATTTTCCTGTAACCTGAACAACTCTTTATAATCCCCAATTTTATTTGCTTTATACTATTTCAAGATGACCACTCTTCTTCCACCATACCATACTATCTCTTTCCAAGTCATGCCTTCCTGAGGACACAATACAAAATATATATATAGTTAAGTAGAAATATGTAATTCACTGCCAAAATTAGTAAATGCTGACTGTATAAAGGTATTAGAGGGGAGAGATATTACTTTAAATTGACCAGTTTGAATACTTTCTAGTGACAGAATAAGGGCTTGAAGGAAAAACTTGCAAGGACACAAGATCTACTTAACTTTTAAAGCTAGAAATTATGGCCTTTTCCAATCAAGATAGAGTTTAAAATACTTCATGCATGCACACGTGTGTGTGTTTGTGTTTGTGTGCGTGAGTGTGTATAGAAAGAGGGAGGGATAAAAGAGAGGGAAAGATAATAGTTAATCGTGGAAATATTTTGAAACAAGTTTGGTAAACTAAAAATTTCTATACCCACCTCACCAGTTAATAAAAAACTATGATTGCTCATGTTTAATTTGTCTTTGATCAATAAATAGTAGTAAAATCTCAGGAATGTTATATCTCTGCATTGCGAGGAAAATATAAGAAAGCATATCCTTAATCTCTATTTGCATAGTCTAAGGAAAATTGCTCGGTTGGTGTATATTTTAAAAATGCCTTTTCTTTCCTGTTTCCCCATAAGACAGAAAAATAATTCGTTCTGATTATAATTGCTGGATATTATAAAGCACTATCTAGCTGAAAGGCTACCAAATGAAATGTTTTATTTAAGAAGTTAGGTTATTGTTTAAATACCTATAGAACTGGAAATTCAGTGTATACGTTTGTCTTGAGGGATGCTTAATTAGGAAGAGGGATTAAGCATAACTTTCTGATTTCATGCTGTATTCATGTGTGATTTGTTTATTTAGGTACCCAGAGGCTTACCTTACGTCTCTGTGAATTTTGGCCTCCAGGGAGGGTTTGCGCATGTCATTGAAGATCAACACAAATTCCCTCATTACTTTGGAAAGGTATGCTCACAAATTTAGTAAAATACCAGAGTTTAGCAATTTTGTAACACTTTTCTTTTGAAGGGAAATCAAAACTTTGGGCACAATATATAGTGAAGTTGGTTATTACTGTTCCACCCAAGTTTTAGAGGGAGTACCCAGAAACTGTTAATAAATATATCCCAGAATATTTATAACAGGAATATTACTTTGTAACCAAACATTTGTTGACAGGGTCAATGGTGACTCTAATGTTTTTCCTGTGGAGTCAGCCAAGCTTGTGCTGAGAGTGATTGATAATAATTGATAATGATGATAACCCACTCATTGAGGGTTTACAATGAGCCTGTTACTGTTCTGAGCACTCATTTAATGCTCACAATAAGTATTATATAGATATTTGTATACTTTCATTTTATAGATGATGAAACTGAGCTACAGAGAGGCTATATAACTTCCCCATGGTCATGTGCTAATAAGTGACAGAAACAAGGGGTGCATAAGCTCATGGTTGAACTAGAGAACAAATGATCTCACATCTTCATTTATAATTAAGAACGATATAGTCCAAGAATGTGTCACTCATTTCACACAGATAGTTTCTAGACAGATACTACAGTGTAGATCTTTCATTTTTTGCTAGTGGATTTTTTTCTGTTACTGCAGATTGCCTTCTAGGGGTATAGTCCTTAAATTTAAGGTCTACTGAGTATCTGGGAAGTATGTAAGTTAGTATCAGGGACTAGAATGAAATTAGTGTAGCTATTGAAGCAATCAAAAGAAGTCTGGGCAATAACAGCTCTAGAAGTGACCTTTCAATCTAGTATAACTCAGGCCTTTCTCTCTAAATTAGAGGAGCCTAGATGAGCTCTGTCCATGGTTCCCTGTTCTTCCTCCCCACTTTCATCTCCTGTATAAGATCATTTTCTACAAAGAATAGTGACATGTAAGAGGTTTGGACTCAAAAATGTTTATGCTGTTATCCTTAAAGGTTAACTAGAGGCCTAAAATCACATTCATCTATGAACTGTTGAGATATGTTACAGAAACTTGTCTGAGAATTTTTCAGAATATCTTTTCCCAGAGTTAATTAGAAAGAAATTTGTTTTCATTGCTCTGAAAAATTCTGTTGTTATTCAATAGAGCTTTATAACTCAAAGCTTTATGACTCTGCATTTATTTCTTTCAAAAAAAAGAAAACTTAATTCTAGTGAAAATGAAGTAAAATATCAATTTTTTAACTTGCATAAATTTAATTGGGAGATCTCCCCCCCCAATATTATGCATGTACTATGGTTTTTATGATACTGTTTTAATGTTAAAAGGAAAGCTTCTTTAGTTAGCATTACATCATTGATCCGTTTTCCCCAAAATCTTCTTTCCAAGAAACAGCCTATGAGACCAAAACTCCCTTCAGCCTGCAGTTGTTTAGAGAGCAAGAAGGGTTGGTCTCTTTCCATTAACATCTGCTTCAGTAACAGAACAAGAATCAGTCCTTGTATGGTACACATGAGACAAATCTTGATGCTTTATAGACAGTTTTAGATCAATTTATAAGCTAGGCTTTCTTAAACTACATTGCTAGTGATTGGCTGGTGCCAAGAAACTCTTGCATTAAATCTAAATGTGCCCTCTTTTTAAACTATGTCTCTCTTAACCCCTTTATTTCCCTTTCCCACTGAAAAGAGGTTTCCTTTTCCATGAAGCTTTTCCTGATTTATCCAACAATTAGAATCTTCTTTCTTTTTGAGTTTCCATGTAGTCTGCTTTGACATTTGCCTTATTCTGCTTTATAACTCCCACCACAGCTCCACATTCTTTTATGAGCTTTCTGAAAACAGAGAAATGTATTTTAGTTATCTCTGTATCCCCTACAGTATTTGGCACTTGCTTGTACATAGTATGTCCCTTTAGTATATTTGTTAAGATGAAGAACCTGTGTCTTAGAGTGGTTATGTCCAAGGTCTTACCACACAATCCTGCAGACCTAGACTGAATATGCAGAACTCAACCCTTAGCCCAAGATTTTCCTGTATTACCGTACTTGCCTTCCTCGAAGCATTATAAATCTCCCCCATATCTTTCTGTACATGGATACTCACTATCATAAATTTGATTAATTTCTGTAGCTGATAGCACAGGAAGAGGATCATGAAGGAAATGATCTAGAATAATAAGCAGACAGTCAGAAATCCATTCCTTTCAGGGCTTGGGAATGTGACTTTTTAAATGAAGGTGATTTATAATTTCTAATTCTTGGTTTGCTTAGATTAGTACTAAAATATGATTTAGTTTCCTGAAAAAATATCTACAGCTAATAGTAGAAGAAACTGGCTTTTAACTATACTGGGTAGTAGGGAGAACATTAGTCTGAGATTCAACTGTAGTTGGACAACCAAGTTAATAATTGCTACATGTTGATCAACTTTTTCTTCATACTTTTACCAGAGCAGCTAATAAGGACCAAATTAGTTAAATTGCATTTTCTCTTCCTCCCCTTTGCTGCTTTCTGATAGATGTGTTAACAAGCAACAAAATAGACAAATTGTTTGACAGGAGAAACAGCTAGGACCCCTAGAATCACAGGGTTTGCATAGTTAAAACTAAATGAAAAGAATGTTTATTTTTAACTTGAAACTAATACCTATGTAAAATTTGAGCATCCTCACGGAGAACTACTTATGTTATATTTAGTAACAGAATAAATAGAAATAGTTTCATTCCTGTTTTTAGTATTTATACATGCACGTGTTTGTATTTTTCTCATTCTTTGAAAGGAAATCATTGGTGGGATGCTGGATGTAGAACCAAGACTTTGGAGGAAAGGGATCCAAGAAAGCTTTGAGGATCAGAGGAAGAAAGTACTGCAGTTTGCTCAGTGGTGGAAACCATTTGACTTCACCAAAAGTAAAAAATGTTGAGACATACCTTCCATTTTTTATTTCCTCTTCAGATTTCTTTCAGTTTTATTTCCATTGCATCTAACTAAACAACTGATCATCAGGTAATAGGAAGAGAGTCATGATCTGAGTTTATGACAACCGCATCATTGGATTGTGTCGGTTTCCTTCCCCACCTGCTCCTGTGGACTTCATTGTAGTAACTGTGGAGCAAGACCAGTTATGTCGTGTGACCTGTTCATGTCCTGTTCTGTACCTCTGTCTTGGTATTCTGAACTATTTATATTAACATATAGAAAGACTTTTCTGAAGGATTATCTAGGAAGTATAGCAAATCATTGCTTCAGAGGGAAGCAGGTCTGCTTCAAGTTTAAGTCTGCTGACTAGCTTCTTTTGCATTTTTTAAACTAAGAGTTGGCATATTTAGTAATAATTGAAATTTCTTTTCACAGCGTTTTATAGAAGCTCTTAATTTTCTACCAATATCATATATATTACTACTATTCTTTTTATTAAAGGAATAAAGAATGTCCCAAAAGTAATTAAGAATTAAATAAGGTGTATAACATGTTCATGATTTGCTTTTATTTCTGTATTTTTAAATAGTGTCTTTGAATTTTGGTGATTTTAAAAGTAATTGTTCCAAAAATTACAGTTTACAGTTGTTTGGGGTTTGTATGAAAGTTAAAAATTTTAGCCAAATCATCATTTTGGGGTTGTATTGATTATTACAAAATCTTGAGTAATGTGAGTATTTTTAGTGTCAGGAACACATTCTGTTGTCCCATTTGATCTAAGGTTCTTCATTTTCCTTTATTCTTACACTTGGTGTGAAGAGAAAAACCCTATACATATAAAATATGGCCATGGTCTCTAAGAGTGTTCCTACTTTATTTTTTATATGGAAGATATTTTTGTAGTAACCCTTTTTCAAAGATGTTGATTTTTTTGGAGTGGAACCTTGACATTTTGTCATGAAATGTTGAATATTTAGAATCAATGTGACACGTACTCTAGAGTATAACTCGACGTAGTTATTTTTAATATTGACATCTCATTTCTTTAGTATCTTGAAAAAAGAGAAATGTTTATGTTCTATCTGAAGTTTTAAAATTTTAATAAAAGTTGGAAGTTTAATGGTTTCAGATTCTCAATATTTGCAAATTGGATTTAAGTTATTATCACATTGATACTTGATAGTATTTTATTTTTCACTGTTTTCAGACTCTTTTGGCCTTGCTGCAAAGTCTCAGAGGAATCTTTAACATTCATTTATTCAATCAGTGAGTTAACAAATATTTGCTTGCAGGGCATTTTGTTGCATACTGGTAGTACAAAAATAAAAAATACTTCCTATACCTTAAATTATTTCATAGTTTAGTGGTACAAGAGACATGTTCAAAAATAATTACAGCACAATATAAGTTCTAATGCAAGATATGTGCCAAGTGTGTTCAAGTCCAGTGCCAAAGGACTATTTACACCTCCTCTGTCTTCATTCTCAGTTGAAGAATCTTGCTTCCTGTTTTACTGAGAAAATAGAAATAAATAGAAGGGAGTTTCTACCACATCTAATTAATATACCTGCATCTGTACCCAGGTACTCTACTTCTCCTCTTGATAACTGTAGGTAAATTATTTTGTTGTCCTTACCTAGAGCTAGTCAACTCATTTATGTACTACTAGATTTCATCCTTTTTCACCTACTCAAATGCCTCTACCCTCTGAATTATTAGATTTTTTCCTCTCTATAAGATTATTTCAGTTAGCATACAAAACCTTTTATAATATATCAACAACAAGCCCTGGCATCATACTGCCTGCCACCCCTAGCCATTTCTCTTCTCTAGTTGAGCAAAATTCATTAAAAAAAATCTGTTTCCTTTCCTTCCATCTTCTTCCTGTTCTCAGTAGTTAGACTTCATCCTCACCATTCTACTAGTTTTAGTTTTGTTTATGGTAAGGTCCTCAGTTCCTTCCACATTGCCAAATCAAATAATTTATTCTCAGTGCTCATCTTACTCTATCAGCTTCATTGGCATACTTGATCACTTCCCCTTCTTGAAACACTATTTTTACTTTGCTTCTAGAACACTGTCTCTTATTTATCCTCTTTCCTTACTGGCTGCATCCTCTCAATCTCCTTTGCTGGTTTCTCCTCTTGTCAACTTCTAAGTGTTGAAATGCCTATTCTCAAACCATAACTACTGTATTCACTCTCTCCCAAGGTAATTTTCTGAATAAAATGGTCTTAAATACTATTTTTAAGTTGGTTCATTTGCTCAGCAAATATTTGAGTGTCTTCTATATGCCAGTCACTGGTCTGTGTGCAGGGGTTACATTAGTGAAGAAAACAAAAATCCCTGTCTTTGAGGAGTTTACATTGTATCAGAGAAGACAGATAGTACACATTAGACAATAAATAAATTGTCTAGGAAATGTCAGAGGTGATAAGTACTATGGAAAAAGGAAAATAGAACAGAACAAGGAGGTTGTTTTCCAAATTTTTATTCACTTTGGACATCTTCACTGAATTCCAGAATCACATATCCAAATACCAACTTGACATTTGTTCTGTAACTGTATCAGCAGTAAGCATATATAAACTGAACTCCTGATTTTCCTCCTGTTCTAGGTATATATAATAACCATTTCATTATATCTCATGGTTTTATAGGTGAGACGTTTAGTCAGGGCTCAGCTGGATGATTTGCCTCTGCTTCAAGATGTCTGGGGCCTCAGCTGGGATGGCTCAAATGTCTGGAGATGACTGGGGTCATATGTCTGGATGCTCTGTTCTTCATACAGTGTATGCTGAAGCTGGAATAGTGGAAATGGTTCCTTTACTCACATGTGTGGTGCCTGTAGTGGAATGAATGGTACAGCTGGGGACGGGCTTATAATACTCTTTTCTCCTATGGCAATTTCAGGGTAGTTGGACCTGCTATATGGCTTCTGGATTCCTCCAGAGCAAGCATTCCAAAAGACAGTTCCAAGAGATAAGAGGTGGAAGGTGCCAATCTTCTAGAGTCTGGTACAGCTAAACTTTTGCTGTGTTCTTTTTATGATAAAGTTGTCACAGAGCCCACCTACATTCAAGAAGAGGGGTCATAACCCTATCTCTCAGTGGGAGTAGTGTCAAATAATTTGTGGTCATCTTTAGTCTACCACAGTCCACCCTCTGGCCACAAACTTATACTCCTCCTATGTGAAAAGCATATTCAAATCCACCCAGGAAAGTCCCATTCCCGTAGGGCATTAGGCTTAGGCTCAAAATTCAGGATCCCATCTAAATCAGGCCCAGATGGAGATGAGGTTACTCAGGTGCTTCAATCTGAAGACCTGTGAACTTAGGCAAATTATCTGTACCCCTTACACACACACACACACACACACACACACACACACAATCAAACATACAGTAGTAAGAGAAGTATATAGTTACTGCAGTAGAAACATTCATTGAAAAAGATGGAAAACTTGATGTACATTTTAGTCACTTTTCACTAGTAATTCTAAAATTAAGTCAAGCATATGTTGCCAGTTGCTTGATTAGGTCCCCAGTCCTGCTTTTTTTTTTTTTCCCCCCAGTCCTGCTTCTTGAGAATGACTCCATTGGACTCTTTGCTCTGCCCTTTGCACTCTTGGTTCAACCCTCAGTCACCCTTTGTTTTTCATAAGAAATAACTCAAGACTTACACTTCCAGCTAAGGCAAAGTAACCACATTATCTTCCTGTCCAAAACAACTGAAAAATAGACAACATATATGAAAGGATGGTTTTTAAGACATGGGATATCAGGCAAAAAGGTATAATGAGCCCTAAGAGATGGGGGGAAAGTGAGATAAACCCTGTATTACCCTATCTTATTGCTGTGAGAGTTTCCACCTTGTGGTACAAGTTGGGAGAATCCAGGCAGAGCCAGTTGAACTGACTGAGTTGAGGAAGTAGAGCTATGAGTCTGGGGAGACTAAGACAACAGGACTGGTTACTAGAGAAGAGATTGCTACACAGAGAATTCTAGAGATCTTCAGAGGGTCCCCTTCTAGTATCTGTACAGTGACTAATTGTATGAGGAAACTACCCAAGGCCAGGAAAAGATTGATCTACCCGAGATGATTAGAGGGAACCTTTCTTGATAGCTAGAATGGAAAATTTCAAGATTGACTAGGAATTGGGTAGAGTACACAGATGGTAATTGCAGTGTAGAATAATTATTCCAACACTTAGCACTGATCTAGTCTCGACAGACATCTTAAAAGCAAGAGGCAAAAGGCTCAAACTGTTTCCAAGTAACTGCATCTCGGAACAGAGCTTAAAAGTATGTGTAGGAATAAAAATATATCCAGTAGTCACAATATAAAATTCAAAGTGTCTGGCATCCAGTCAAAAATTACAAGGCATGCAAAGAAAGCAGCTACATGGATAAATATATAAGATTTTTTTCTTATTCTCTAGATTTCTTTAAAAGATATTTTACTTCTATAAACAAAACCCGTATGAGGTTTATAACATGTAAAAGCAAAATAAATGACAATAATAGCATAAGAGTGGGAAGGGGAGAAGTGAAAGTACAGGATATTGTACTATATTTGAAGCAGTATAAGATAACTTGAATGTAGGCTGTGATAAAGATATGTAATTAAAGCAGATCCTAAGATAAAAAAACGAGCAAATAGGGCTTCCCTGGTGTCGCAGTGGTTGAGAGTCCCCCTGCCGATGCAGGGGGCATGGGTTCATGCCCTGGTCTGGAAAGATCCTACGTGCCGCGGAGCAGCTGGGCCCGTGAGCCATGGCCACAGAGTCTGCACGTCCGGAGCCTGTGCTCCGCAATGGGAGAGGCCGCAACAGTGAGAGGCCTGCATACCACAAAAAAAAAAAACAAGCAAATAAAGATTTATAGCAAAAACCCAACAAAGAGGGTAAAATGAAACATAAAATAATCTAAATGAAGGCAGAAAAAGAAGAACAGGGAAACAAAGTATAGATGGGATAAAGAGAAAACAAGTAACAAGATAGATTTAAACCTAAACATTATATCAATAATATCCATTTTTTATTGCCATATAGCAAATTAACACAACTTTAGCAGCTTAAAGCAACAAATCTTTAATATCTCAGCTTCTGTGGGTCAGGAGTTCAGGCACAGCTTGACTGGGTCCTCTCTGCTTAGGATCTCACCAGGCCAAGGTGTCAGCTAGAACAGAGTTTTCACCTGGAGACTGAACTCGGAAAAGATTCACTTCCATACTCACATGGTTCTTTGCAGCATTCAGTTTCTTGCAGCTAGAACTGAAAACTTCAGTTATTTAATGGCTGTTGGCCAGAAGGTGCTCTCTGCTCCTCTAGGCATCAGCAATTTCTTACCACATGTGGTTCTCTAACATGGCCTATTGCTTCCTCATAACCAGCAACAGAGAGGGAGATTCCAGAAAGATGGCAGCTGAACTCTTACATAATACACAAAATCACATCTGCTGCCATATACTGTTGGTTAGAGGCATGTCACAGGTCCTGGATCCCCACACTCAAGGGGATATAATCACAAGGTTGTG